GAGAAGTAAGTAAAATAGAACAAATATGTGAAAATAAATTCATTTTGAAAAGTAGTCAAATTAGAAGAGGATAACTCAATATTGGGTTACTCTAAAATTTCGTTAATGCAATTGAAAGCAAAAATAAAGCAATATTGAATAAACGGAAAAAAATAATGTCGTCGTGAATGATAGCGTTGTCATTATGCCATGGAGGGCTTTGTTGATTGCCGGCGTCGCTCTCGTCGGCGGTTTGTTGTCGTCGTCGAAGTCAGCATGGTTTCGCATTGATTTGCCGGTATTCTACCACCTGTGGAAATGCGCTCATGCAATCGTTTGTGATAGTGCATCGACACGAATGTCACTAGTGTAGCATTGGGGCGAAGGAGGTGAAGGAGTGGACAACCCAGTATGGGAGGTGGGTGAGAAAATGGTGGCCACTGAAGATGTCACTGAAATGGGAGATGTGAATGCGGAGGAGGACGTTGTTCACTGCACCCAAGACGACAACTCTCCACCCTTGGGTAGAAGAGGGTGAGATTGGCACGGATTGGAAAGTGCCAAGTTAGGGGCATGGAGAAGTAGTTAAGTGTAGAATGGACAATGCGGTAATTGTCAATGCTAGTTAATTGGTTGGTTGGTTGGTTGGTTGGTTGGTTGGTTGGTTGGTTTGTAGGGAGTATGAGGAGTGGAAGAAGAAGGTTGGCTAACATGGCGCTTGTCGCCCGGTTGTGTTGTTGCTTGTAGTTGCACCGACACTGCATCTGTCGGAGAAGTGGGAGGACACGATAGTACTGAAGTCTGGTGGCTCGAGCGTGGTGGAGGTGCCATTCACAGCGAGTCCGAAGCCGAGCATAAAGTGGTCGTGGAAGCCGACAGTGGAGGGTGCGAGCGAGACGTCGCCACGCTTCAAGCCGGAGACTGCGATGGCCGGACTCACGTCGTTGCCATTGAGTCGAGTGAAGCGCGAGGATGCTGGAGACTACAAGGTGGAGATAGAGAACGAGTTGGGCAGCGTGAGCGTGACAGTGCATCTGGTGGTGTTGGATAAGCCCACACCTCCGCGCAACCCTCACGTCACTGACAATACAGGCGAGCGTGTGGTGGTGCACTGGGAGGAGCCGGAGTTTGCAGGTGTCGAGCCAGACGGCGCGCCTCTCGAGTACGTGGTGGAGATGCGTGAGGCCACTCAGCGTGCCAACAAGCCCGTGACCAAGACCACAGAGCTCTCCACACCCGTGGAGGCCCTGACAGTGAACAAGTCCTACATCTTCGCCATCGCGGCCAAGAACTCGGTGGGTCAGTCGGACTTTGTGGAGACCAAGCCGGTATCCACGAAACTGCAATACGGTCCACCACCGACTCCGACGAATGTGAAGGCCACAGTGAATCCAGAGAAGGCACCGGGCAAAGATCAATTCGTTGATCTGACCTGGGAGTTGCCTGGTGATGAAAGTGCCACGCCCGCTGACGTGACCACCGAATTCACCGTAGAGATGAAGCCCAAAGACTCGACCCGTTGGGTTGAGGTAGCGAAGGATTTGACAGAACCACACGTCACCCTTCCCACCGACAACATGAAGGAGTTCACAGACTACGAGTTCCGAGTCACGGCGAAGAATAAGGCGGGTGCAAGCAAGCCTTCGGAGCCGTCGAACGCTATTCAACTCGGTAGGTTCATTTGCACACACACACACACACACACACACTCACACTCACACACAGGTTTCTGAGTGTTGAAGTGCATTGTGCAGATTTGAATGGATGGGGTGTGTTGGATTGGCAGGTGCGTTTGTTGTGTGATTGGGATGAGATTGGGGTGAGATTGAGGGTCACTTGGGCCTTCCGAATCATCCATCATTAGTGTCGCCACAGGCGTGTGTCCATACTAGCCAGTCGATGAGTGCGGATCACCCAGATCTGCGTGGGGTTGAAGTTGGCAGCAGAGGGTATGTGGTGTGGCGTTGAAAGTGGTCAAATGCAACCAGTGTGTCCTTCAATCCACCACCTCGGAGATGGAAAAGACTGAGTCATCAGTGTAGAATTGCACCATGGTGTGGTGAGTGAGTGAGCGGGTGAGCGGGTGAGTGGGGTGATATATGATGTATGCAGGTGGGCATTGGAGTGTTGCGAAGTGGAGAGTGTGGAGAGTGTGGAGGGTGTGGAGGGTTTGGAGGTTGTGGAGGGTGTGGAGGGTGTGTGGGAGAGTTAATTGCCATAGCTGACCGCGTATTCTTTCTCTTCTTCCCTTGCATTCCTCATGTCGCGTCGTTTGGCGTGGTGATAGGTGTTCCATTGGAGTTTGTGCGTGAATTGCCGAAGATAGTGGTGAGCGAGGCGCCAAGTGCAGAGAAGCCAGTGGTGTTGGAGTGCGAGTTGTCGAGGAAGCCGCGGGAGCCAGCGAAGTGGTTGCACAATGGCAAGCCGTTTGGTGTGAAGCCGAGGCAGCAGGGTGTGACGGTGGAGGAGGAGAAGCAGGCCACCATTCACCGAATCACCTTCACGCAGCTCACTGACGAGGAGCTTCTGGGCGAATACACTCTGCAGGTGGAGAACATTGCCTCCACTGGAGGAGTGGAAATGAAGGGTGAGTCTGTTGGTGCTGTTGGGCGCTTAACACTGATTTAGTGGTGTGTCTGGCTTTCTTTCAGATGTGGGGGTGGGTTGGTTCAACCTTTTCATTTGCACTGTCTGTGGTACCCTAAGGTTGTTCTAGGCGTCCGAATCGTCCGAGAGTGAGTTGTGGTCGTGGGTAGCAGCGTTGTCATTATGCCATGGAGGGCTTTGTTGATTGCCGGCGTCGCTCTCGTCGGCGGTTTGTTGTCGTCGTCGAAGTCAGCATGGTTTCGCATTGATTTGCCGGTATTCTACCACCTGTGGAAATGCGCTCATGCAATCGTTTGTGATAGTGCATCGACACGAATGTCACTAGTGTAGCATTGGGGCGAAGGAGGTGAAGGAGTGGACAACCCAGTATGGGAGGTGGGTGAGAAAATGGTGGCCACTGAAGATGTCACTGAAATGGGAGATGTGAATGCGGAGGAGGACGTTGTTCACTGCACCCAAGACGACAACTCTCCACCCTTGGGTAGAAGAGGGTGAGATTGGCACGGATTGGAAAGTGCCAAGTTAGGGGCATGGAGAAGTAGTTAAGTGTAGAATGGACAATGCGGTAATTGTCAATGCTAGTTAATTGGTTGGTTGGTTGGTTGGTTGGNGCCCTGACAGTGAACAAGTCCTACATCTTCGCCATCGCGGCCAAGAACTCGGTGGGTCAGTCGGACTTTGTGGAGACCAAGCCGGTATCCACGAAACTGCAATACGGTCCACCACCGACTCCGACGAATGTGAAGGCCACAGTGAATCCAGAGAAGGCACCGGGCAAAGATCAATTCGTTGATCTGACCTGGGAGTTGCCTGGTG